GAAAGGACCCAGCCGGGTTTAAAAGAGAGGGAGCGGAAGCTCCCCATTCCCCCAAAGGGGGGGGGGGGGGGGCACGCAGACGGGGCACGCAGATGGGACACGCGACGCAAGTGCCGCTCCTTTGTCCCCTTCGCCGTTGTCTCTTGTCCCACACAGAGCAATGCTGCAATCATGTCGACCTCTCGGTCTCGACGGAATAAAGGAAGCACCCTCGTGCAGCGAACAAGAACACTCGACAAAATATGAATATATCGACAGAAAACCTCCGCTCAAAATGCAGATATCAGGGGACGATAACACGGAGGGAAATGCAAGAGAGTCAACCCCCCCCCCCCCCCCCCCCGGAATACTACTCACAACGACCGTCAAACTTCATGTCATGTTTCCGACATAATTCGACTGGCCAAATACCTGAAGCACGCATCTGGCGGCAACTGTTGACATCGAACCCGTGTAACTACACAAATCAATAGGGATACTGTAAGTCGACAGACACCCCGACCCCACCCGGGGGCTCTGCGACTGAACGGGAGGGTACCTACCCGCCGTGAACGCACAGCAGGGTCGAAAAGGAAGGCAGACCAGGGACCCCTGCTCAATGCACAGCGGCAGCGGCGGCGGGGGCGGCGGCGGCGGCCTCAGCGGCCGTCTTGTCCGCCTTCGTGTCTGCAGCAGACGTAGGGCTGTCACCTACCACTGCCGCCACAAACCCCGGGTTCGAGCGCAGCGAGTGGTGCCTCATGTGCAGCTGGCTGGTGCGGAGCAGCTGCTGCACCCGCCGCCCCCCCTCCGCGGACGGAAGCCTCCAGCTCGCGCTTCTGCTGTCCACCCCGCCAACCTCCTCGCCCTCCTCATCGGAGTCGTCGGCCGCCGGGGCATCGTAGAACTGGGTGATGCACCCGCCGCCGCCGCCGCCGCCGATCGCCCCGGCCCCTAAGCTGGCGCCCGAGCCGTAGCGGTGCTGCTGCTCCGGGCAGACGCTGCTGCCGTTGCTCTTGAAGTTGTGGCTCGCAGACTTCGACCGCAGCGCACACAGCGGGTTCCCCACGGACATCGGCTGCTGGTTCTGCAGCGGGTTGTTTCCCGCCGGCGACTTCGCCGACGACTCAGCCCCCCCCGCGACCAGCACCACCCTGCGGTCCCCGTGCTGCTGTTGGTGACCCGCGGGTCCCATCCTCGCCGTGATCATCGGCGACACGCCGTTAACGTAGCTGCTGCCGCCGGAGCTGCTGCTGCTGGCGGGGGACAGGCCGCCCCCGCCGAAGCTGCTGCTGCCGCCGCCGGCCCTCCTGCCCCGCCGCCGCCGCCGGGGAGGGTCCTGACGCGTGATCCGCTTCCACAGCCACCCGACCAAGCTGCCGGGGCCCCCGTGGCGGTTGTTGCGGGCCGCATTCGTCAGCTCGCGCGACTCCATGCGGTTGAAGCCCCGCAAGAGGTTGATGCTGCTGCTCCGATTGCTACTAGCGGTGCCGCCGGCGGTCGCGTTGCTGCTGCGGCCGGGTGCCCCGTCCCGGCAGCTGCTGCCTACCGCCGCTGCCGCGATTGCAGCGGCGGTCCGTTCCTCGTCGTCGGCATCGCCGTCGTTGCCGAGGACGCTGCCACCGGAGCTGCTGCTGCAGCTGCCGCCGCCGCGGCCGCGTCTCTTCCTGCGGAAGATCGACGCTATCGCCAGGAAGGCTCGCACCTTTCGCTTCTTGACGGTCGGTGTCTTGCGCGCGCTCGCCGGTCTTGAGTTGGACGGCGCCCCCGGGGGCTGGGGTCCCAGGACAAGGAACGGGGGGGCGGGGGGCGTAAGATGAGTGCATAGTAAATAGTGCAGACCATGCTTTTGACCGTACCACCCGGAAGACAAGAAACACAAAAAGAGGCCCTGCTGTGTCGTGTACTCAAGAGCTTAACCTGGCTCTCTGTGGTGGATGGAGATGAAACTCGTTTGTCTTCTTGTCACGAAAAACATACAACACACATCGTGGGCGTCATTTTCCATTGGTCAGCAGCCGGTTAGCACGGTCGACGGTAGAAATTCCAAAAAGCACGCACAAACGCGACGGCATGCCCTTGTCTCTACCGGTCACCTTCAAAACCCTCGACCAGCGCCGGCAGCTCTCCTTCGAAAACGACGTGGCCCGCGTTGCCGCCGGCGACGACAACGAAGGCCCGGCGACGACAACGACCTCGACGTCGTCGGCGCCAACGCTGGGGTCCCCCAGCACCCCCTCCTCGGCCAGGGGCCCCGCAGTCTTCGCCGAGTCGGCGGCGGCGACGCCGCCATCCATCCCTTCCTCCTTCCCCCCTCCGCCGCTCCGCCACTCCCGCCAGTCGAACGCCTTCTTCCCGCCGGTGCCGGCGGAGGAGGCGGCGGCGGCGGCGGCGGCTGCGCCGCGGCGCCGCTGGGAGCGGGAGCCGACCACAAGATCCGCGCTGCCGGACCGCCTGTGCGACGAAAACGCCGACACGCCCGTGCCGGCCCGGTCGGCGCACAGGCTCCGGGACCGTAAGGGCGACGCATCTTGGTGGTCGCGTCCGCCGCCATTGCCGCTGCCGCGGCGACGGCGGCCGTGGGAGCTCGACAGCGACGAGGGGCGGAGCTGCTGCTGCTGCTGCTGCTGTTTTTTGGTCGGCGCGTGGCCGCCCGCCGCGGAGCCGGCCTCGGAGCTGACCGTGGATGAAGCCTTCTTCGGGGTAGGGGGGCGGGGGTGTCCGCTCGGGCCACGGGGTTCGCCCACCCTGCCGTAATCGGCGCGCTGTCGTCGTCACACCCACCGGTTAAGAAGGCACAGCAAGTAGGGAGAAAGGAAGAGGTCAATCAGCATGCACGGGAACGATGGATGAAAGGCACATTAGGGGTTGGCAATCGGGGAGGGAATCAATCAAAAGGATGCATGCACATGGACGAGCGCTGTCAGCTTTCGCAATAGAAAGGAACAACGGGAGGTGATCGTCCACACCACCGGCGGGGAAAATCATACGCGGGCTGACGCACGCAGTGTTGCTCCCACGCCCCATCGCGCCACCCAGTTTCGGGGGGTAAACCACCACCGGAAATTCAACGAGCCACCACACTTCCTTCTTCGTCTTGCCCACAAGCGAAAAGCAACTACTGTACGTTAACTGCGAACACCACCACCCTACCCTTCGCACTCACCTCTACGGAGATGCTCCGCGACGAGCCAAACCGCCGGTCCCGGCTGCCGCTGCGCTTGTCGCTCTCCGCGAGGCTCAGACCGCCGCCCGCGTTGTTGAACCGCCTCGTGCCCCCCCCGTGGCTCCCGCTGCTGCGCGACCGGCGCTGTGATATTCTGTCCTCCCTGCGGCTGCTCCGCCGCGTGCCCGAGCTGCTCCGGCGCTGGTACTCCCGGCCCTTACCACCGCTGCCGCCGCCACTGCGAGGCTTCTCGTCTCCGGCGTTGGAGTGAGACCCGTCCGTCCCTCCGTACCCTGCGTCCCCGCCGGAGAGGCGGCCGTGGCTATGGCTGCCGAAGGTGCTAAGCATTTCGAGCTTGGTCGGCCGCCTCGCGAGGTCGCTCTTCGCGTCGTAGGCTGCCGCCGCCGCCGCCGCCGCCGCCGCCGCCGCTACCTTCGAGAGCTCTACCTCACCCGAAACCCTAGGGGAGACGACCGACGAGGCCCGGCTGCCGAAGCTCATCAGACGCATGTCCGACGGCAGGCGGAACGGAGGAGCTCCGTCCCCGTCCCCCGCCGCCGCCGCCGCGCGGTGGTGGTGGTGCAGCCCGTTGCTGTGAGTCGCCGGCGTGCCCCTCCCCACCGCTTGCTTCTGGTGCTGCTGAGAACCCGCCGTGACAGGCAGGTAGATCTTCCCGGGAGCGTGGGCCACCGTGAGGCTCGGCGGCTCAAGGCGGACCCCGCTGCTGTAGCCCCCGCTGCTCGCGCTGCACCCGTCGTCGTCAGAAGAGACCGAAGATTCGTCGTCGACGAACAGCTCCGACCGAGAGGGCTGGGAGTTCAGGACGTGCGGCCTCGCGCCGTACGCATCCGCCGCGGTCCACTTGCCTATGGTCGTCGGTGCGGCGGCAACAGCAGTACTCCTGGATTCCAGCGAGGGCACGCTGGCCACGGCGGCGGCCGCGGGGATCGCCTTCGAGACGCCGGCAAGGTCGTTGCCCCTGCGCGGGCGCGTTCCGGGCGACACCGTGATCTTCTCGAAGGCGCCGCGCCCAAGCCCCGTCACGAGCTCGGCGTTCGCCGACGCGCCCCGCCTGGCGATGTCCGCCGCCACCCTGGCCAGGGTGTCAAGGTGCTTGTCGCTGTCGTTGAAGTTCCCGTCCGCAGCCCCCCCCCCGCCAATGGCGCTCAGCCGGGAGTAGGCCGTGGAGCACGACGCCATCGAGAGGGCTCCGGGAGAGACCTGATCGTTCAGGAAGCAGGCGTCGTGGTTGCTGCTGCTCGCCGCAGCCGCCTTAGGGTCCCGAACGACGAGACGCATCTGGTTCTGCTGCTGCTGCTGCTGCTGCTTCTGCCGCTGCGCCTCGCCACCGGCAAGGTACAACCCCCCTCCCTTGGCCTGCCGGACACCGGCGGCGGCGGCTATGCCGCAGGGGCGAGGGGAGGAGGGCCCCCCTCCTCCTTCTTCCGTCGGCCTGTCGTCCTCGTGCCACGTCTGGGGCCGTACCCCGCGCCCCTTGAACGCGCCGCGCCCGCGGCCCGCAGGAAGCTTCGCCGGCGCCCGGTTCTCTTGCCCAGGCCCACAACGCAGGTGTCCCGTGAGCATCGGGCTCGGAGGGGGCGGTACATCGCTCGGGCTGTGGGCGTTATCATCGTCCCGGGGACCCCCCGCGGCGCAGCCGGGGCGTGGCGGGGCCGCTGCTCCCAATCCGTCGTCCTCGTCCCACTTCTGGGGCCGGGCTCCGCCGCCGCAACCGCCACCGCCGCGCCCCCTGTGGCCGCTCGCCGCGAGGCCTCCTGCCGGTAGTACCTCCGCTTGCTGCTTCTGCTGCTTTGCCTCCCCCCGGGTGCTGTCTCGCGCGCGCCGCAGGTGTCCGGTGAGCATCGGGCTCGGGGGTGGCGGCGGCATATCGTCGCTGTTGCTTTTGGAACCCTCCTACGATGATGGCGGTACCAATTGTAGGTGGGAAGAGGGGAGGGGTGAGAACTGCACCGCGGGAAGGATTTGCTTAGGCGCAACGGTCATACAAACCTTTCCGTCATTCATGCAGAAGTGGCTTAAACTACTTCATAGTAGTGTCACGGGGGCGCTGGCGGGGCTCGCGACCAAGAAACACATGCATAGCCGCGTCGCAATCATCGTTTCTAGCCTAAACTCACACCGATTCAACAGAACCACCATCTCGGGAACTCCACACACAGCACACCCATGTCGATAGAGACGTTCGACAAGAAAGTGTATTCGCCTCTCATTGCTCAGCCAGCTACCGCGGCCGATGCAAATTAAAGACACACAAATACGCACATCCCGTTCGCAGCTGAAAACGCGAGGAACAACTACTCAACAACAAACAAACAAAACCCAACGCATGCCCGATCTCCCGTCCTCACATGAAACATCCGTCGCGCATCCTTTCCCACGGGCGGCCCGCCAATTCCCATCCCTCTCCGTCGCGACAACAAGCGCGACATGCCCGACTCGCTTCTCGCAGACCCCAGGCCGGCGCCGGCGCCGGCGCCGCCGGGGGCCCGCCCTGCCTGCCGCTCCGCCGCGTCGCCCCCGCCGCGCACCACGACCCCGCCCCCCCCGCCTTCGGGGAAGCTCCCCGTGGTGTGGAACTCCTTGCCGCCGACCTCCCTGCTGGCCCACGGCTGCTGCTGCTGCTTGCGGCGAGACGACGACGACTTGTTGGAAGACGCGGAAGGCAACGCCGAGCCCAAGGGCACCCCCATCGGTATCCTCGACGTCGCCCCCCCCAGAGGCACGCTCATCCCCGCCCCCGCGCCCCCCCGCCCGGACCCCGCCGTCCCCCTGCTGCGGTCGCTCACGGAAGAGCCCGGTCGCCCGAGGCGCCTCAGGCTCTCCAGCGCGGCGCCCTGTAGCACCACGGGCTTGTTCGAAGAGGAGGACCCCGACGAGGAGGAGAAGGTGCCGCGGTTGCCTCCACCGCCGCCGGTGCCGCTGCGGACCGGGGGCGGGGTGGGCCCCGGGATCGCGGACAGGTCCAGCGGGGGCGGAATGCTGCTGGCGTTGCTGTTCATGTTGCTGTTGCTGTTGCTGTTGCGCGCGTCGGCGTCGGCGTCAGCGGTAGCGGGGAGCGTTTTCTTGATCCCTCCCGCAGAGATAGACCCGAAGCCCCTGCCCGCTTCCGTCCGAGCGTCGGGCGCGACCGGAGATATCCCCGGAACCACGGTCGACGCGCTCGAGCCCGTGGCCCCTCCGCCGGCGCGCGCCCACCTTCGGGTAGCGCCGGCACCGGCGGCGCCGGTGATGCCGCCGCCGCCGCCGCCGCACGGCGAAACCCCCTTGTAGGATGCCGTTGTCGTGGCGGCAGCCGAAACGCTGGAAATGTTGGAAGAAGTGGGTCTCAATCCCCCGCCGCTGGGGGGGGGCGGCCCCGCACCGTTGGGTCGCAGGGGCCGCTGGGGGGGAGGCAACGAGGAGGGGAGGGATCAACGGAATTAATTGAACGTGTTGTACTATATAGAGCGTGAACACGCAGGTAGGTACAAGTACAGAGCTCCCTCGAGACCTGACCATGGCGTTCTCGCGGTTCGGGAGCCTTGTGCGTGCACGGTTTTTCTCCCCTTGGGAAAAATATTCACAGCAGATACAGGCAGGCTTACGGGCGTGCTACATACCAACATGGCGACAAATGCCGCCGAGAATTGCCACAGACGAGGCGCAGAAAAACAAAAAAAACGCCGAGGCAAAAACGATTTTACTCCTATTAGTAGCAGATACGATACATCCACGTAACGCACAATACCCAACGGCTATCCACAACCCAGGGACGGCTACGTTGGCCACCCTCCAAACGTGTTTGTCCGAGGATGCCTCAATTTTTGTGGGTAAATAGCCATAAGCGTCGCATGCATGCGTGCGTATCGCAGCAGCAGCAGTGGTACCGTCGTTTTCCAATATTCCGCGGAGAGGGTGGCGTACCACCGTCCGCGGAGGACAAGAACCGCAAAGTGGGTTTTCCGACATGGATCAAAAGCGCATAGTTGTCGTGAAAATGGGGTACTGCTGTACCAAGCGGGAAATCTTTTTGTTCATGTTTTAAAAGGAAGCCGAGTTACTTGCTGGGGTTGTATCTAATTTCTTGCCGTCATGTGTGACTTGGGGTGGGGGGGGCGCGGATTAATGTTTGTGTACACTCACGCCCTCGCGCTTCATGTTTTGTGTGTGGTCGTAGTCAAGCACCCTCCGTCTACATTGTACATTGTACGGTAACCATGGGAGAGCGAGCGTGAGAGGCCATCGGATGCGAATGCTTGAGAGGGGGACCAAGGTATATAACATATTGTGTCTGCGTCCGTGCGGCCAAGACATAACCGACAGCAGTAGTAGTGCCCACTGGCTCTGGCGGACACGTCGTATTCTTGCGCTCGCCAGCAAGAAACGAAGGCGAGCACGTGGGGGCGGCAGAACTATCTACCGTGATTCCTGACTCCTTGCTGCCGAAAAAAACAACCGAAACGGAATGCATGCGTCCGGCCTATTGCTGCAGAAAAACTCTGAACCTATGCTGTCTCTCCACCACCACAACGACCTCTTCAACCATTCCCTTGTGCGGATGTTTCTGAGCCTCGCAGCAGCAGCAGTTGCCCAGCAGCAGTGGTAACATGTGAGATACCATCTACCTCTCTCTCGGCGTGGCGGTCTTGGCCCGCGCGTACTCTCGCCGATAAAAAAATCCATATCGCCTTAGATACAAATTTAGGGAAAATCTTGCTCCGCATTCGTGCAACTTTCTCGGCACCGCCAGCAAGATTATAGATGAACCAAACCTTGGATGTATTAAGGAATAATAAAAACACACGCATGTACCTGGTACTAAAATCTCGAACGGATAGTCTTCTCGTGGTTAATGTATGTAAGTTAAACAACACCCTCGATGGGAAACTCCGACTCTTTGGTTATTATTGTATTCACAATTATACCGTTCGACTCTACCCAGTACCTTCATCTGCCCGTACCTAGTCTAATTGACGCGGTCGATTCCCGTGGTCATCTCAAATGGGCATCCTTTGTTGTACCATATATTTACACGATCGAACTTCCTTCCCCAAACAATTACGCACGCCGCAAACGGTGGTGGTGGCCGCGGACAAAGATGATGAATTGCCGAGTGACATACCGTTGCTGGAGTGAGTAGCTTTCTTGCCGCTGCTGGTGCCGCCGCTGCTGCTGCTGCTGCTGCTGCTGCTGCTGCTGCTGTGCGCCTTGCCTCCATGGCCATAACCTTCTCCGCAACACGGCCATCAGATTGGCGGTTGTTGTTGCCCTGCGTGTAGTCAAGTCCGCAGATAGATGTAGATCCATCATCGCCAAAAAAAACACATGATGAGTGGGGCGCAGCTTGCGCAGGCAACACGGGTGTTCTAGGAAGCGCGTGTGTGTGCGACGCCTACTACACACACCAGAGGCAGCGTTCCGGTGGGCCCATGGGGCGAGACACCCCGGGAAATACATACGGTGCTGCTGCTGCGCGCCACAAGAACGTGGACAACAAGCGAACCATATATATTCTGCTGGCGAGGGCGGGGAAGAAGAGGTCCGCCGCCATCATCGTGGTGCTGGTGGTATGCACGCGGTTTCTCTTTCTACAACGTGAAGGCGACAATGCGCCCAAGCAACGGAGCGGAGTAACTTGGGCGGCACCATGCGGGAAGAGAATTGTAAGGAGGACAGAAGAAACACGGCGGTTTTGGGTGGGGTGGGGTTGTTTGGATTCCATCCACCGCCTGCTACGCGTACCCCGATGTGGAATTAAAAAGGCCGGCAGCTACAGTAGTAGGGAAAGGGGGCTGTTCACCTCAGAGAGGGCACAGCGAGAGCTCGGGACTAGAGGGGGAGCAGGCGGGGAGCCGGATATTTAATATGCACCCCTAACCTGATGATATGTACGTTCGTCGAACAGGAAAGAGGCATAAACATGGGAACATACAGCAACACACAAAAACCTCATAGAAACTTGCTGACATGGGAGAGAAAACGCCATGAAGAGCTAAATATGTGGCAGCTCACGCATGAACTATGTTGTGATCGTGTGTTTTTTGAACTGACCTCCATGTGGTTGCCGCTGGGAGGCGCCGGCTCGCGACGCGGGAGCAAGTCGTCCACGGTTATGCTTCGCTCTAGCCGTCCCAGCTCCGGCAGGTCGGTCTCCAGCGCCGCCGGCTCCGTGGTGCTAGAAACTGTAGGCTTATTCTCCTCACTTCTCGAAGCCTGCCCCTCCTCCTCCTCCTCCTCCTCCTCCACCTGCCGCGAGTGCTCCGGCCGGCTGCCCTCAGGCGCCGCCGCGGCTCCGTCGTGCGAGCCAAACACGCCCAGCACGCGCCCCTCCATCAGCATCCCGGTGAAGGAGGAAAGCAGGGAAGGCCATTCCGACACTTCGGCGGTGGTCTCCTCCGGCACCATCTAGCAGCGGAGCGCGCTGGGCACACACCGGAAACACAGATGGCTGCTGGCCCAAAAATATGTGGCCGGCCCTTCGAAAAAAAGAAGAACCGTTGAGATGATGCCGCGGGTCGCGCGCCTAACTATAGTAGGTGAGCGGCAGCAGGTAATGGGGTAGTCGTCTCTAACGCCCTTGGTTGGAGCCGCGACGAAACCGTGCAGGCGTCTGTTGTACAACCCGGTGGTGGCGACGACCGCCCTCCGGCTCTTGCTACCCGGCCGGCTGCTCCGGGTTTCTTTAGGTGTGTGTGTGGTCTCCCTCGCTTTTCCTCTTCTTTTCTCTCAATAGTAAGATGGGTGATCTCCGGCCAAAATTTTCGAAAACAGCCGGATCTCCGAAGAGAATAATATGGTAGATGGCAGGCCTCTCGTAGATCGCCGTGCGTCAGTGTGTGACAGCAGTCTGTGAATATGTGCGCGTTCTAGGTTCTATTATAGGCCTGCGTGTATGTGCACGCAGGTGTGTGTGCAGTTGCAACCTTGCCGGACCGGGTTCCAGGCCGCGAAGGAGTTCGGCAGACATGAAAGGTAGTGCCAGTAGTGGTCTGCGGTAAGAGACCCGAGGTCGGAGGAGGGTGCAGGCATGGTCCTAGCGACCTGCCGCCCTGCCCTTTTTCGCGAACAAAGAGGCAGGCAAATCTCCAGTTATGAAAATGTGACAGATGTACAGATTTACAGCTGTAGATCTCCATCTGAGCGCATATATATATGTGAGCGGGGGGGCGCGTTCGGCGTCTATTGCCAAGTGTGCACACTCCACAAGGGTTGATTTTGATCAGATGCAGCTGCGTAGATGAGCTCCACACCGCGAAATATGCAGCAGTCATGAGCAGCAGTGCCAATGATGGATGCCCGAGGAGGGTATTATAGAGGGTCCTGGGATCTTGTGACCCATGGTAGGTTTGTCTTTCGCTGCCGCGGCGAGATAGATACATGGCAGTTTTTTTTTCATTTAATATGAGAGAAGATAGAGATGGATTCGTTGTGTCATACTAAGAAAAAAAAAAGAATGAGTCCGAGACAGATCAGCAATGAATTCGTTTGTTTGTTTTTTTGGAAACTGATCAGGGAGGCGCCAAATGGTTGCACGTAATTACCCCGATCCAAGCGTTCTGCCCGAGGACCTACCTACCCGTATCTTCATATATCTCTTCTTTCTCCTCCACCTCTCTATCCTTCTAGCCTACAATCGATACCGATGCTTTATTGTTGTCTTCTTGTCAAAGGAGCCGTCCATTTTACGGGGGCAAGATCATCGTCATCGAGTGCCGGCGACGCTGTTCTTCTTGCATCATGTATATATATACAATATGTAGACTATCTATCTATCTATGTAGTACCCGTTGTCACGTGCTGTATAATAATATAATAAGTAGGTGACATGAGATACCACATCCCCCCTGTGGACCGATTTCCAAAGCTCGACTAGGTACTTGCTCCACGCGACGAGGATGCATGCGGAAACGGAACAATAGCATATATATGCAGGTAGGTAATGCTCTGGACGGGCGGCTCCAGCGCCGACCTACCGTATATGACACAAGATAACACACCCCCTGGCCCGATTTTCAAAGATCGATTACTCGACGACGAAGAGGATACATAAACGAAATGATACATTTTCCAAAAGCTCTCAACGAGACGGTTCCAACGCCGCCATTTTCGGCGTTGTGAGTCTTCCTGCTGTTGAGAAATCGATCTTTGAAAATCGGTCGAGGGGGTGTGTTATCTTGCGTCATTTACGGTATTCGACACTCTGGCACCCACGGAAGGCGTCCACTTCGTTGCACCAGTACGGACATCAGAGGGTACTGAGCGGAGACCTGAAGACAACAACAACAAGTCCAGGGGTTGTACTGTAGTGTCTGATGTTACTCACGGGTAAAATAATATCGTAATTCGAGGTACCATGGTATATTATATAGTGACGAGGCATCTGTGTGTGGGCAACACCTCGGGGGTGCTGCGATGCAATGAATGGCACGGTATTGGGGCGCCGCACTTTTTAGCATAATTTTTCGTGAGGTAACTACTGCGGCCGCCGTAGTCTTCTACATGTATGTAGTACGCTGCTACATAGCAGACGTGCCAGTCAGTGTGTCTGGTAGTAGTGTAGACCGTTTCGTGTAAAAATGACAGCTCCGTCAGCGACACCCTGCGCGCAGCTTCCCCCCCCCCCCATTAATTCATGATGAGCGCAGGAGATTTCATCATGATGAGTCATCTACCAATAGTCAAGCTATATATATTGTTGGTATGCACGTGTACAGCAAGCAGTACAGGCACCTGCTTCTTCCATATTCTCTGGAGACCCTGCCGTTCCGTGGGCCAAAAAGGGTTGTCTTAAGCAACACCAGCACAAAATCACAGCCTACAACACAATACATACATACACCTACCTGCTGCTGCTCTTGTGAGTCCCTCGCTATACGAGCTGGCCGCCAGCATTGTTCACGGTAACATGCACAAGTGAATTTAGTTGTGGTGCGCATATGATGTACCCGCCGTTGGATGCTGGTTGCATCGACCAACAAGTCGGTGTGCTGCTGCACCGCACCGCCACCCTCGGTATCTGGTTCATATTTGGAGGGCATGTTGCAGCTTTCATGTGGCATCTGTGGCAAAATGCGGGTGTTCCGTGTGATCATTCCACCGGGACGAGGAAAAACGAGGCGCCACACTTGCCGCTGAAGTTCATCACATCGATCTCCTGTCCCACGCTCATCAATGCAACGCCGAAAACAAACACCACGCAAAACGCAGCGATCAAGCCCACAACCTTAACATTACAACCCGGAGCGCCCGCAAACATCGACAACAACAGCAAAACACGCCCCGTACAAGTGTGGCGCATCTCCCCTCCCCCCCGCCTCTACAACCCGCGATGTTCAACTGAAGCAACGAAACAAAGAACTCCAAGGCCTGGTGCGTGTGACATGTGCAAATACCAAAGCTGGACGAGCTGCATATCGCAGATGCGAGGGGGTGGGCGGAGGGATCAACCCCCGTGGGCTCCCTTTCTGCAAGATAAGAACGACAAACACAGAACGGCCAGTCATGTGTTGCTACGCGCCATCATGCACCCTTGCCGCAGATAGGCTAAAAAAACAATGACGACGCCCGTAGAACGGAGCTATATTACCAAGAGACCCAGCGTGATCCGAACAGAGCCATTCATCAGCCTCCGAACATGCGCCCCCCACCCCGCCTTCCGCGCCCCAATCTTTTCTTCAACGCCCGGTCAAAGGTCAGGGTTGCCGCGACGAGTACTTACCACCATGTGCCCGACGCCTCCACCTACAAGGGAATGGCAATCAGCAAAGCAAGAAAGGCGAATCAACCGCGCAGTGCGCCGCTCTCTCTACAGCAGTGCACACCCGTTCGGCACCAGCTGGGGCAGCGACGACATCCGCACAGTAGGACCCGATCAGAACCACCACGGGACCGCCCGGTCTACCGCTCGCTACAACACGGGTGGCGTCGTTACAAAACCCGTGCCACACGCATCCACGACCCTCGACATGCCCCCCCCCCGCTAACGTCTTCAACACACACGGGGCACCCGCGGCAAACGCACGAACTCACGCTTTCCACCCCCTACCCCAATGGACTGAGTGGCCTCTCGCTTGACACCACGTGCTCACTATTTGCCTAGTGGTGGGGCGAAGGCAGGCAGCCACCACAAGCCGCAACCTCCCAGATGCCGCTTGTTGGGCTCCATCCATGGCTAGCTCCAATGAAAGCACCCTTCCTCTCACTACGCCATCTGGTTCAAGGCCATCATTTGGTACTCTTCCCACTGTTCATTTGAAGAGCAAGGGTGACGCGGGCGCGTGCGCCCGGGCGGGGAGGGGGAGATAAAAACGTGGGGGGAGAGTGAGTGGAAGAATGGTGATAAGGTTGTCTTGGATGGGGTGGGTAGTTGTACCCTGATTTCGCTGGATCGCAGCTGCAGAAGCGGGAAGCAACAGAGGAAATGGAGGATTTCCGTCACGGTTCGCTCCCCCCACGTGTATACACGCGCGGACACCGCCGTCTGCAGTACCCGATTCCAACTTGCGCCCCACGCCAGCGCGAGCCAAGCCCTGACGGGTATGCATCAATTTGTCCATCCTCACAAAAGCCAATAGCCAAGATGACATGGCAATGATCTACCTCGTGGGAGATCGACGTGGCCGTTGTTGCAGAAGGAACGGTAGAAACCAAACCAAACAAAAATAATTCCCTTCATCCTTTGTGACGACCCCGCCCTGATACGCCAGACACGCAATACACAGAGCGGTGTGTAGACTAGCGCCAGAATACAAGGGGAAGTAGACACACACACACCTCGTGGAAGTTGATGTGTCCGTTGTTGTTGTGGTCCATGTCCTCGAATCTCGGCAGATCGTGGTCGGTGAGGCCCGGGTGCGCCCTCTTGTACTCGTTCATGTACTTGTCGAACTGCCAACAAACACGGAACAGCAGAACCGCATTTTTCCCGAAGCAGCAGACGTGCGTGAGCAAAGCGGCACCTAGATCAGGCCGCGAGAACAAGAAGCGACCCAACAGTTCCTAGGATCACTGGATTGGTCCCCTAACACACCTACAGCAGTAGGAACACAACTTCCCGATACGGACGGTGGTGCGTGAACAAAGCGACAGCACGACCAGGCCACAAGAAACATGATATGATACGACCAGACGTTTCTCAAATCACTACAGGATTGGTCTATTTCCCTGCGAGCTCAGCTACGGGAGAGAGATCTGCCGGGAGTACCGCAATAGGTTAGGAGGCAAAAAAGAAGAAAAAAAACTTTTCGGTAAAGTCCTTCGGTCTCGACTCAAACTGCGGTGTAACCCTCTCGTGCGAGAGCTAGCTAGCTGGGTGGTTTGAAGAAAACGAGGGAGACCATCAAAAATATCTTCTGTGACTCAATGCTGCTGTTGCGTCGTTTGTTGCACAACAGAGCGAGAGCCGCGACACGTGGCTCCAGAACATCCATCGGTGCAGCAGCAACAGCAGTGACTTGTCCCCGGGGCAAGGGGGCGGTCATGAACCACAGGAGGTCTAGACCATGTTCCGATCGCGCCGCCTACGCGAAGCACCGGTGCAATAGCAGCAGCGCTCACCTCGAAGCGCGTGATGAGCCCGTCTTGGTTGGTGTCGGGGAGGGAGTACAGGAACTGCTCCAGCTTCTTGGACTGGATCACCTTTTCGTTGAGGCTGGCGGTCAAGGACTGGCCATCCAATACCGGGTTTCGGTAGATTCACAGGTTTCACGGGGGGGAGGGGG